GGTCAGACATTCATTCTGAACTAAAAAAAAAAAATAATAAATTTGATAAATGTGCAATTCCAGACACAATTATAGTAAAAAAAAAAATTCAATACCATACATTTTTCTTTGAAAATAAATATAATGTTCTATTATAATCCACTAGCATTTTGAACAAAATTTGCTGATTGCATATATATACACTAGGGCTGTCATGGTTCCAAAATTTTTTGGGTCTGTTCTGATTTTTTAAGGTTCGGTTTCGGGTTTTTCGGTTCGGGTAGGTAATGGAATAAAAGCTCATGATTTGTATTATTTTCAACAACAAAAAGAATATTTTTATTTAATCTTAGAAATGGCAACATTATAAGAAGTTTAAAGTAGTTTCTTAGAAAACAATTGTACCAAATTATTTAAATCACCTTATAATAGTAATATTCTAACAAATCTCTCGTTTTTGACGCCATTTTTGTAGTAAAAACTTCTGTACTATACAAATCAGAACCGAACGGAATTCCAGAAAAACGGAACCGTACCCGACCCGAATTAATTGTTCCGCGGTTCCGGGTCATTTCGGGTACCCGTGACAGCCCTAATATACACATAGTTAGTTTCATGGGTTCATATGATTTATTTCATTGTAGGGCCGTTTGTTGTCTTTATGCAGTGACAACACTGTGTACCTCTGGGAGATTAACCATACAGGGGGGAGATCATTGTTGGAACAGAAGAAAGAGTACACCTTCAGTGTGGATGAAAGGTAAATTGTCTACAGTTAGCCAAGTACTGCAAGTCAGATAGGCAGAGGGAAGTATCAATCAATGGTAAAAATTATTACGCTCAGAAAGTTCTATCTCTGCTTCAGTAGAAACGATATGTAACAAAAATATTATTTCCTGAATATTACACATTCAGTCAACAATTTCAATGAATAAGAGAATAATTTCATATCGGAAGGAAAAGGAAACAGTTTCATAACAATCAGCCTTTCTTTTCCTTTTTACTGTCATGCATCAAAGAGATTTGCATATGAGAAGGCAAAATATGCTTGGGTTTATAAATTATTTTATATTAAGGAAAAGATTCTCTGAAAATCTCTCCAAGTGTGACAGCTGATATTGATGTTTGAAGCCCCAGAGCAAATTCATGCATAGAAATATTTTTGACACTGAGTAAAAATTTTTACAACAATATTAATGAAGTGTAAATTCATTGAAATTAGGCAACATGTGGTTTTAAAAAGGTGCTGATTAGAGAAATGCAAACCACATCTGCAGTGGAACAAATGATAAAAGTTAACAATCGGTGTTAAAATTTATGGTCTGAAGCCTATTTCATTGTTCAGGTTCATTGCAAACAAGTCATTCCCTAGCTTTGATCTGAGATTATTCCAGCAACAGGATTAACACTTTTATTTTCAAACTTTCATTCTGTTACAAGAAAACAAAAATTGTAACAGCTGCAAAGTCTACACGAGACTGGAATCGCATAAATATTTAGCACTTGAAGATGTGTTTACATTTCCAGCATAATGCACTATATGAAAATTGATGAGGCAAGCATAGCTCCTCGTCTGTAGGCTCAGTGTTTACCATTCTGTGTAAGTGTGTTATCATTGACAGGATCCCTGTGGAATGTCAGAGTTGTTGACCCAGTTTAACCCACACCCACTTTTATTATTGGAGCTTAACTCAGCTGACACTGTTGTGCACCCAGTCATAATGATTGTCAAATTACAAAAATACAAAACTTTTATAGTGTCTGATAAACCCATTCTTATTTGGATAAGGTATCTATACATGATCATTGACAATTCAAATATATGCATACTTATCTAGTCATTCATTTATTTCAAAGGTTTCACTGAAATAAGTTGAATATTTTGGGTTGTGTAAATGTGGAATTTTTCTGATAAATGGGAATACGAGTGGTAGTGATAATGTTACAGTCTGTAGTTTATTAACACCGGAAAATGAAATGGTCTGATTTTAATCCAGACGTGGGGTAGCTTTAACTAGATATTGCAGAGGGTGATGTCATTGTCAAAAATTTTTTTTAAAAAAATTGAACATGTTGAACAAATTCAACTAAAATCATTTGTGTCTGCTCGTTCTAATCTTGACAACCCTGGGTAGCTTGGAAACACCTCTGCACATTTCACTGTGCACCTGTGTGAATAAGAGGAGCTTTGCTCATTATATCTAATGGTTTTATCTTAGTCATAGAAATAGATATCTGTATTTGGTGCAGTACGAGGTTGGAACTAAATGGAGTATTGATTATTTAGAGGGAAGGCCCCGTTTGACTCGGCTGTGACCTGCTGAATGGATTGGTCTAGACATTACATCTTTTATTCCACTTGCAGATCGTGAACAGATTTTGTGCAAGTCATTCAGTATTTACGGTCTTGTATTGTTTGCGTTTTCTATTAACACAGTCCATAAAAATTGATACCCGAACCAATAAAAATCTTTAAATGATGAAAAACTGTAACTGACCATAAAGATAAAATACAGTCGTATTGGGTAAGGAATGAGAGAGAGAAAGGTCTGGTGTTGGGTTGCTGTGGTTTGAAGGCCACACTTCCTGTGTGTAATTATTCTCCATTATCCACACAATGCTGGCCTTACATTGCCTTTAATTATGTGCTACTCCAAGGTAATCATTTACAATGGCTCATTTGAAGGGTAATTGGGACACATTGTTGTGAAAAAGTGTGACAGTACCATCTGGCAGATAATTGTGGATATTTTTTTTCAAACAAGCATTGTTGTCCATAAATTTATTTTAAACTGAATTTACTGCATGATTTTCTATGACCAAGTGCATATAAATTTAAGTAGTATTTAAATGTATGAATTCCTTCTTAATGGTTGAATGTTTAATGGACTTGATGATATTCCTCGACTTAAAATTTTCTACTCTCTTAGCCAATTTTGACACGTTTGAAGCAATAAGAAATGTATTATAAATGATAAATATGACCATTTTCTTTTTCTTTCTTTCTTTTTTTTTTTGAATATTGTCAGCTTTTCTCAGGGCAGCCTGACCTACCAAATAATTCAAGAACATCTTTTTATCTATTTGAGTGTGATATTGATTTAAATTATTGACATTGATAAATATTTTAAACAAATATTTGTTAAAGGCAATAGACGAAATCTTATTTTTTAAAAGACACTGTTTGAGCATGCCTTAGGAAATGTGTTTTGAAAAGAAAATGGAGGAGAGATTCAGAGATTGTTTTCAATACAGATTTATTAACTGTTGAATAACTAGATATTTTATTCTCTTAGCAAAGTTTCTATTTTTAAGAGGGTTCATATTTGATTTTAGACATGTTATATCATTTGTATCCCTAATTTTCATATGCATGTAGACCAAAGTTCAACAATGCATAAGGCCATAATAAAAATATTCCTAGATTATCATCCCCGCCCGCCCCGATTTTATACCCCCGCCTCGATTTTTTTTATTTCTGTTTTCTTCATTTTAATTCTGATCGGGATCGGTATTCATCTACCATACTACTTTCGTTTTAAATCCTGCGAAAGTCAACATGATTTTGACAGCTGAAAAGATTGTAATTGCTGTAATACATGCGTATATATTTTAAACAAGGGTCATTGGTTGAAAAAGATTGGTGATGATGTGATGTAAGAGATAAGTGAACTTTTACTATGACTTTTATTTGGGTTATGTAAATGATATTACAACAACGACTGACCAGGTCAACAAAAAATCTGCAAAGTTGAAAAAAAAAAATATATAAAATAAAAGCCGCCCGCCCGCCTCGATTTTTAAAAAAAATTTGGATGAGAATCCAGCAATTTATTTATTATGGCCTAAGCGTAGAATGCAATTTATCTCTTGCTTCTATCATGTCTTTCAAAAAGACACTTTATATGTTTGTATTGTTGAAAACTCACATATACTTAGGCATAAAATGATAATTTATTTGTTTGCACTTGAATGCCATCTTATCTGTACCAAAAAAAAAAAAAAAAAAAAAAATTGTCAATAAAATATGAAATCCTCCAGTGCAATTATTATGGTACTTTTTAACCAGTCATATAATAGCCAGTGTAAGTTGTTCTGGTCCTTTTTTCAGTCAGATAGCCTGTATAATGTTATTTTACATCACATTTATATGATAAACCAGTACAAGTTTTAATGGTCCTTTTCTTTTGACAGTCGTATGAAGGGGATCTCTGTGTGCTGCCTGACAAACAACTGTGAACAGCTTCTGATTGGTACAGAGATAGGAAATATCTACATTCTAGACCTCAATACCTTCAAACTCCTCGATCAAATCATCTACCAAGATGTGGTCATGCAAAAGTAGGTGTCCTCTGTAAATTTATTTATGGCTACGTTTTCAGTACAGTGTAGAATATCTGTGACAAATACTTGAGAATTTTTTCTTGAAATATCAACTTAAATTTTGACATGGGATAAAATATATATCTATACTTGCTAACTGCATCATTAAAAAGATAACTTTTTAAGGAAAAATGTTTTTATTCATGAAAAATAATCGGGCTGTCCACATCACATGTTGGAAAAGACAGACAAAATCGGTTATATCTTCCATCAACTACAATATAAATTGCAAATGTACATTTCTTGTACTATATTCTAGGTAAGCAATTATGTTTAAACCTTTTGTCATATTTCAAAATCATTTAAACTCATTAAAATATGAAAAAAGTGACAAAGTGTTGGTCAAACAGGGACAGACAAAAAGTCTATTTTTCTGTTCTAAGTGCTTAAAGAAAAGTATTTTCAGCTTTGGAATTTGAAATATATGATGACCTAAGACATAGAATGCAAAAAAAATTGGGAAAAATTGATAAATAACACTAGTATGAAACTTTAAAATGTCACTTTTTATGTTGGATTAACAGAAGACAGATGTTGGAAAAACCTGGACGGACACTGAGGATTTAGGGAATTTTAATCTCTTTTGTATTTTTTATTACACATAATAACTGAGGAAAAAACACACAAAATGATCTATCTCCATCTAAAAGATATTTATTCAGGTAATTATTGACATAATCTTTATATAGCTGCTATGAAGTTCCTCTCAAGATCTTCAACTGTCTCTTTGGTATATACTGTTAAAAGAAGAAATTAAGATATTAAATCTATTCCATTTGAATTAATTAGAGGTAATCTGTAATCAACTTTTATAGATATGACCGAGATCATTAAAAAAATTTCACTCAAGTTTGCTGGACATTAAACATTAAGAATTCAATATAATTACCATAATAACATAGATATCTATAAAGTATTTGTCCTTGTTACGTCCGAATGGAAATCATTCTGTCCAGATTGAAAAATCATCGCTTTACTTTATATTTTGATGAAATTACGAAGTTATTTCAATCTATAATAACAATTACGGTAATGTAGCATGATAATTCACAAGAATATGTGTGATGTTAATTAAAAAATTTCATAAAATATCACATTCGGACGAACATTCGGATGAACACACATTCGCCCGTAACTTACATACTTCAGTGAGACGGACAACTATTTTTCCTTGCCTCCGTCCATCTTGTAAACAGACTGGTTTGCGGTAAACACATGATGCACTCGTTTTCTACCATCTCAAGACATGTATGTCGTAAAAAAGAGAGGTCCGTTGATTGAAAAAAATCGGTATTTAATTTTACAATTTTCGCCCGTAACATAGGACAGACAAAGGAGAAGATTTAATTGATTTAAAATATTTCACAGAAAAACAATGTTATCTGGATAGAAATGAATTTTATTATGCAAGAAAGTGCATATCTACAGCTGAAAAGCGGCAAGAAGCTTTAAACACGCATGCAACATCTGTCAATTTAATCATTTTTGGTCAGTGTAAATTGGACAGACAAGAGTCATCCGACACACAATTTTAATTTTAACTTTTATTAATTAAAGACAGTTTCCATGGCAACTAGAAAAACTGATTTTTATTGAAGAAACATCGCAAGTAAAATTAGCAAAAGAACTGTGTCTGTAGAGTAAGATTTAATAGGCTCATACAACCATTTAATATAAGACCCTATGCAATGTCACATTTTACATTCCAAAAAAAAGAGGAATGTTGAAATAAAAATTGAATAATTTTTTTTATGAGTGACTTTGACTTATGAAATTGTGTTAAATATATCTCTAACCTGTAAAGTATATTATATTTGTGTCGCAGGTTTATTAATTTTTATAGAAAATTAGTAAAAATTATTTTTTCATAAGCCACCCTAAATTTACACCTGACTGAAAACATAGCCTTATTGCATTGTTAGCATTGTTGATAATAGTCTTTAAGTATTGCATTCATATTGATGGAATTGAAAAAGAAGTTTACTAAGAAAATGATTGGCAAGCTAGGCCTTGCAGATTTTACAAAAATGAAGTAAGAAATTCTTTTCACTTTTAGTGTACCCGATGACTTCAAAGTAAATCCTGGTGCAATTGAGGCTTTGGCTGTACATCCAACTGAAAAAGAAAAGGTAATGCAGGCAATTTAACAACATTTGGGCTCTGACCTTGATTCTTCTATACAGGTCAGGGGTCAGCATTCAATCCCTTTGGAATCTGTATTGAAGCAGACAGAAAAAAAGTAATGAGAAATTTGATTTTCCAGAACATGAAACTGAAGAAAGCTTTTTGTCTATTTTCAGTTTTTGATTGGCTACAACAGAGGATTAATTGTGTTGTGGGACAATGAGGCAAGCAATGCAGATCAAACATACAACTCTACACAGGTACGTATTAATTACAGGGCAGGAAAATTTACCACTTCACAATGTACACCACAGAAAATATATGCCTCATTAGTGAGTACTGTCCCATATATAAAGTGTTGTCCCATATATAAAGTGTTGATGAAGAATTTTTGCCAGAAGGATTTTTTGAGTAATTAACCACATCACAAGAGCTTTTAAGCAAATTAAAAGATTTAAGTTTTGAGGCAGTTGGTATAATTGATGCATTTATTTCTTGCAGCAATTAGAGTCCTTATCCTGGCACAGAAATGGGAAGGAGTTTATGAGTGCCCACAATGATGGCAGCTATATTGTGTGGAGCACCTCTGATGCCACCACTCCTAAAGAGTCAGCAATTACACCTTATGGTAATGTCCAGAAATTTTTCCCCCGTTGTTGTAGTATTAAAGAGATAGGGAGAAAAAAATGATTACACCCTGTTATTGAGGTAAAAATGAAATTTCAATTTTTTTTTTTCTTCAACTTTCTTTAGGTCCATTCCCATGCAAAGCTATCAGCAAAGTTGACTGGAAAACAGCAAAGTTGTAAGTATACTAATACTTAAAGGGGTAGAAATTTACATTTTAAATTTGTAGCATACATTTCCTATATGATAATTTATAGAGATTATTAAAATTATGTTCTCTGAGATATACTGAAAGGCAGAAATACTGTAAATGTCTGAAGAAATGATTAACTTTTATATTGTTTGCAGGGATCCTTTCATTATTTTTGCCGGGGGAATGCCGAGGGCGAGTTATGGAGACAGACATACAGTCAGTGTGATGCAGGGCTCCAATAACATCCACACGGTTCTGGACTTCACCTCTAAAGTGGTGGACTTCATTACCATCTCAAAAGCAGACGAAACGGAGGACTCCATGGGTATGTGTTGGTTTAAGGTTGTCTTCAATAACCTTTTGTATTGCTTTTCTTTGGAAGCATTTTGCAGTGCTAGGATATTCTAACTTAGTTTTCCACAGGATTTTTCCAGATATCCAAAAAGTTAATATTTCTTTTGAAGAAAAGTTAAATCTTGAAAAGTATTCGTAAGATAAATTTTATACCATTCAAGTATATTTAGTATGCAGTATTCCAGTGTATTACCAGATTACAAAAGAAAGTTCCAGGTCAGTCACTAATTGTTTCCTAATCTTTTTCCAGAGACAGATGAGCCCCATACTCTAGTGGTGCTGGCAGAGGAGGAGTTAGTCTTGATTGACTTGGAGACCCAGGGATGGCCCACCTTCTCCCTCCCCTACCTCAACAGTCTTCACTGCTCCCCCATCACGTGCTCCCAGCATGTCAGTAACATCCCCGACGGTCTGTGGCAGAAGATCATTGACGCAGGCCAGGCACAGAACAAAAATGTCTCCTCACGGGTAAGGAAATGCACAATACACATATAAACCATAGTTTACCAGTACGCATGCTGAAGTACATGTACATGTAAACCATATGTAACTGGTTAGCATGCTGAAGTTCCCTAGAAAAGAGTCTTTCGTAATTTATGCAGGTTTATACCAAATCTAGTCAAGTATATGATAAGTTTTATCTCTCCTCATTAAAAGTATTATTTGTGGATGCCATTGTGTTTGAGGGAGAGTAAATGTTTTGTTTGGTTTTTTGTCCTGCTAGGAATGGCCGATTAATGGAGGAAATATTGTGGGAGCTGAATCCTTGACCAAGGACATATTGCTTACTGGGTATGTTTGAGATATTTCTTCATGTTTTCTATGTATATTTTTGTCTCGCCTGCGACGAATGTCGCGAAGCGAGACATAGCGACCATAGATTCCGTCGTCGTCGTCGTCGTCGTCGGCGTCCAACTTTTGGTTAACCCAAATGTCAAAGTTTTATAAACTGCAATAACTTTCTCAAATTTTATTCAGTCTTCTTGAAATTTGGACACAATATTCAGTATGGATAAAAATTTATATCCCAAGTATGATTTTGAAAAAAAAAATTCAAATTTTTCCGTATTTTTTCCTTAAGTTGGACTTAGTTTTTTCATGATAATTTATGGTGAAGACCTATATTCCAGCAACTATAAGTTATAGAGATATGATAATTAGTCAGTGGATACATCATGGGTAACCACAAACGTCAGTACCAGAATTAGGTCATCTTGACCTACATTTTTCTGCATGAGTGACTTTGGTTAAATTTTTGGTGGAGGTCCATATCTCAGCATCTATAACTTATAATGGCATGATGATTTGTCATTGTACAGGTTATAAGTAACCAACAACATCAGTACCAGAATTAGGTCATTTTGACCTACATTTTTCTGCATGAATGACTTTGGTTAAATTGATAATGGAGGTTCATATTTCAGCAACTATAACTTATAGTGGCATGATAGTTAGTCAGTGGATACATCATGGGTAACCACAAACGCCTGTACCAGAATTAGGTCATCTTGACCTACATTTTTCCGCATGAGTGACTTTGCATAAATTTATGGTGGAGGTCCATATCTCAGCAACTATAACTTATAGTGGCATGATAATTTGTCAGTGGATACATCATGGGTAACCACAAACGCCTGTACCAGAATTAGGTCATCTTGACCTACATTTTTCCGCATGAGTGACTTTGCATAAATTTATGGTGGAGGTCCATATCTCAGCAACTATAACTTATAGTGGCATGATAATTTGTCAGTCTACACATCATGGGTAACCAACAATATCAGTACCATAATTAGGTAATCTTCACCTACATTTTCTGCATGAATGACTTGATACATATACAGTGGATTTGATTTCAAAATGCAAGTTCAAATTATTGCGACTCATAACACGTTGCAATATTCGCAATAATAAAAACATCACAATAATTTGTGAATTTACAGGGTATATGTATATATATATAAATGCCAATATAATCGCCAAGGGATTAGATATTAAGTCAGCTGTTCCATTTCTTTATTATTGTATTTTTGAGTTATTCCTTCTGAAATGTCAATAAATGCTTCAGTTTATCAGACAATCATTTCTTACTAACCACAGCGACAGCAGGCGAGACACAGGGTTGCGGGCAACCCTTACGTACTTTTTTGTGTCTTTCTGTAATGGTTGAGCTCAGTGGCTTTGGTTTTTGATTTTTTTTATCTCTGAATCTCTTCTTTCTAGGCATGAAGATGGCACAGTTCGTTTCTGGGATGCCTCTGGCACTTCTATGTCACTTCTTTATAAACTTTCTACTGCTAGTCTCTTTAATGTTGACATACATGGCGAGCAGAACAGTGGAGAAGTGGAAGAAGAATGGCCACCATTCAGAAAGGTAATACAAGAGCCTATTACTATGTTTTCATGTTGGCCTCAAAATATCATAACACAAATAAACAGTTCTAAATGTTCCACATTAAAACATTGAAATATTGTTTTGAAAGCTTGTTATCCATTTTTTTTTTTTTTTTGGGAGGGGGGTATTTTTTTCCATTTTGTTTTTTTCCCTGTTTACCTGCAATATCTTTTTAAATACTTCTACGCTCTAATTTATTGACAACATATTTTTGTATATGCATATTTCTGTATGCTTTCGAAATCATTTTGCTTTTCTTCTAATGCAGCATTCGTTATTTGTAGTGAACATCACCTTTGTGCATTCATTCCTGCCATTTCTTTTTAATTTTACTTTCAATATAATGCATCCGTACTAAAATTCACAGAAAAACGGTTTTGCATTCACCATACACAGTTCCGTAAGAATGTGATTACGCACAATCTATATCGGTATCTGTAGTAGTTCAATTAGCAATTATTGATCCATGTACTGTTTACACTTATGAATTAGCCC